GTTATTTTTTATTATCAGAGATTTATTAAAAGATAAAGGGTTCCCAGAAGTGGCACTGAACTTATATATACGAAAAACTTACGATTCTGTTTCATGGAATTATCTTTATTAAGTGTTGATTTTTTTAAATTTTGGTCAAATGTTTATTAAGTGAGTCAATACTTTATATTTTCAAAGTCAAAGCACTGTTGTTAATAATAATTATAGTTTAAGAATGTTTCAAGCTAAGAAAGGTTTGAAGCAAGGTCTCTCACCATATATATTCTTATTAATAATTGAAATATTTGCATGTAGAATTCGACAAAACCATAATATTTCTCGGAAATACAGAATTTAAAATTTCTTTGTTTGCAGATGATGCAACAGTATATTGTAATGGGCCATAAAAAGTATGATAACAGTATTTTCGGAAACCGATATTTTCTTTACCGTGTCTGAGTGCAAAATAAAAATAAATAAATGCCAAGTATTATATCTGGTAAAATAATAATTGTCAAATTTTTCCTATGCATGACCGAGCACTTCAGTGAATCAGTGGAACCCAAGCTGTTTTAAAATTTTGGGCATTAATGTGTGAGGAAACAATGTCGATCTTTTTACTGTGAACCTTTTGCCAAAACTTTAACAATTGAAAGTGGTTGCACAAATATGGTACAAAAGAAATCTAGATTTCTCCGGAAAAATCACTGTTATTAAATCTTTGATGTCGAACTTATTGGTTTTTGTAGTTTCCATCTTACCAGTACAGTATTACTGCCCAATAGTTTTATAATGGAAGTAGGCCTACATAAGATATGTCATGAATTTTTATTGGGTTCAAAATGGGGGAGAAAAAAACGTAAAACATTGATTGAATCTGTAAAGGAAGAGGGGGGGGGGTCAATATGCTTGATGTGGAATCATTTTTCATTGGTCAAAAATTAAGATGGGTTAAATTTTAATAAATGACGAAATTGATGTCTCATGGAAATCCATAGAAATGTTTTTCTTAAATTTGTATGGATGAACGGCTTTATTTTATGGAAATGTATATCCGCATGGACTGTATATCAAGAATATTAATTCAAGATGTTTGAGAGATAGTATGTACTATTGGTTTATTTTCAAACCCAAGATTATTGGTGATGTAGCCTAAGTCATTTACATGTCCTTCTGTGGTTTAACTTAATAAGAATATATCTTGCCAAGGAAAACTTTTAGATTTGTATCGCGTAATATCAACATGAGCAAAGCCCATCCACCGGAATTAAAGATGTTTATGGATGAAAGATTGGATTTAAAGTTAAATAATGGTGGGCGATCTGTTACGAAGGTATTGCGACGTTTCGACCTTTTTATAAATCTAGTTGAGGATGACGGAACAGAGCACAGAAAAGACGAGACCACTGCACCTGTCGGAGTGGTGGTCGATCGTGGAAATTCGATAATAATGTTGGAAGCATGGGAACGGATACAATGATTTTAAATTGAACCAATTAAACGAAAACCACAAAAGAACTCGATGCCCCAATCCATGATTGTGCATAGACTGTTATGAAACATTCAATCTATTTACCGAGTTTTTTCTTTTTATAGTAACATTTTTTTGTCACTGTGTTATTTTTGCAATGAAATTGAACTACAGCATTTTATTCCATATTTTTGTAGGGAAAGCAATGTTGTGAAAAAACACATACCATATAAGGCTATAGCCACGCATTCCATCCTATTAATTCTAGAAATGTCCTTTTGATCACATTATTTTCAGTTACACTTTACAGCATAGCGTTTGACTGGAGGTTATCCTTTTATATATAATTCTCAAAAACAGCCACACAAGAATACAATTAGCAAGCCCTCAAGCATTACCGGTACATTTTTGCAAATAAGAAGTTGAATGCCTATTACCTTCGGGGGTACTCCTGAAGTATGCGTACCTGAGTTCAGGTTGTGCGCCATCTTGGTGCGCATACTTCAGGAGGTCCCCCTTCGGGAGTGCAGACGCTTCTAATTGTACAAGTCTGCTGTAACGATTCTGTATGCTGTAGCAAGTCTATGCATGTCACTTTCTCACATACATAGTTCATTTTCTCGTGATTTACGTTTGTTATGTAATAAAATTCCACTGAACAATCATTTTTTTCTGTAATCACCATATATCACCACATATGAACCGCAGCCACAATTTATTTTGTTTTGAATTCTAGTTTGTATAAAGTAATGTCATGATCTTTTTTTGATCATTGTGTCACATTTTAAAATTGATTTAAAAGGTATTGCCCGATTCGTGTCTTCATTCTATTGTGTTCTTTTGACTGTTTTTGATGGATGGGCACGTACTTGTACGTTTTAAACTTTTTTATTAACTTATGCCCGTCCTCCAGGTCCTCTGCATTTTGTTTGTCCGTTTGTTGTTGTTTCATTTCTTTCAGAGTGACCAAATAAAATTGATGATACGCTTTGTAATGAAATAATTTTGCCGCCAACTGAGAAAATAGAAAAATGGTCAAAAGAATTGTGCAGGAACTTAGATAATTGGTCGCCATTGTATGAAAAAGTTTTTTATTGCACTATTGAATCCAGACTTCGTTCATTCCATGTCAAATTTGCTTTGCAAGCAGTGCCCACTATTGACCTGCAATATAGAATACATAAAACACAAAGTCCAAAATGTACATTTTGTAATATGCATGTTGAAACTGTATTACATTTATTTTATTTCTCTAAATTTGTGCAGCAATTTTGGGAAATAGATAACGCTTGGCTAACCGTTGAGTATAGATTAAACCTTAATTTGACACATAGAGAAATGTTATTGGGGGTAGGGCAAACCAGGGTATAAACTGTGTTTTATTGAGCGCCAGATATTTTATATACAAATGTAAACTGCGTAACGAAAGGCCTCAATTTTGCCAATTTCTATATATGATAAAAAATATCATAAACTGTGAAAAGACTATTGCAACTAAAATGGTAAACTGTCAATCCATAAGAAGTGGAAAACTATTATGTGATCGTTTTTTTTAAAATGCAACTATATTTGTGTTATTGTGTCTATATAAATGCGTTATGTGTCCATATAATGTGATGCTTTTTTTGATATAAAAAAGGTATAATTGGAATAGGATTTATATATTTATGCCGTTTGGAGAAGAAAGCCGACAAGACGGCTTAATTACATGGCGAACCACGGCCTCTTCGTCCGGTTACCAGTTCATGTCGCGTGTGGGATTAGTTAGCCAGTTACTATAATTGTTTAAGATGCATGGACTTGATGGTGGAGGGAGCCGTAACCGACTGGCGGTTATGTGAACCACCTCCGTCGTTGAGAAGTTCAGCAATCATATCGCACATATTTGGCAAGTTTATTTCAACGCTTAGCGCGATGCGCCACACTGCCGAGCATCATTTTGTGAAAAAAACCAAGTCTATCAGATAGTTTTGCCAATTGCCATATTCAATGTTTTTGTCAATCGGGAGTAGGATTTTCGGAATGCCTTGATGTCAAAAGAATGTGTTCTCCACGACCAGAGGGACTCGCTGAAACTACCTCACCAGAGTGGTCCGGGATTTAAATCTAATCGGAAAAGAAAAGTTGGACGACATACATGTTACTACATGTCTTTTTAAATAAAGGACCGACCAACTTCTTGTGGCGTGATAAACCGCGATTTCCACACGTGGCCTTTCGGTCCTCAAAATGTCCAATTTCAATTAGATCTAATATATCTTCCTAGAGAGAAGAAACCAAAAATGACATGGGGTATATAATATAGACATATTTCCGACGCTCTAAACTGTTAACATCTACTTACTTTTCGAGAAAGTATAAAATAAAGAAATGGCCAATATAGACATATTGTCAATATTTATTGAATTCATTTTCAAATTAACAAAGGCTGAAGCTAAATAGAATAAGTACCAAGTATTAAGCATAGGAAAGATCTGCTTCACATGTTAATTAAGAAACTGAGCAGCAAATTTAAAAGACATCCATCAAAACATTAAGCATAGAATTTATCAACAATCCAACGCCATTAAAATGACCGCAAAAGACAGAACCCACGTCAATTTTAACATATCCTAGAGCAATGGTTCTCAACCTTTTATTGCTCATGGCTCCCTTCCGGAGGCTTTTATTAGCACTAATGGCCCCGCTGTTTATCATTCCAGTGGTATTCATAGCATTATTTTGATTGGTTGATTCCGAATCCCATTATGTTCAAACAATTCATGCACAAACATTATTAAGTAACGAAACTTAGGTTTTCTTGTAAAGGGAAATGTAAAATCAGTTTTGCGCCTAGCATTGTGGCCCCCCTCCAATTGATCTGTGACCCCAGTGGGGGGCATGGCCCCCCGGTTAAGAATCGTTTTTCTAGAGAGAACATAACTTCTGTGCAAAGAGTCCTAGATTAAAACTGTTGGTTACCATCACACACAGACAGAAGCTTAAGTGTCAAATTTACTTCCCCTTCATAGGAATTATTGAGGAATGTTTTGGTTCTGTTTCTTGGGGTCACCCTGTTTTTAGTTCAGAACATTGACCAATAAGTATAATTAATATAGATTTATAGCATGAAGATTAATAGAGCAATATAAAATAAAAATCAAGCATAAAACTTCATTTTATGAATTGGATGCACAAAATAAAATTACAAACACCTACTCATAACCAAAAATTGGTGATTCAAAAAATACCTTGAAATATTTAAGCTGACTTTCCTTCAATTTAGATTTTACTATACTCCGCAACTGCAGTATGTGAGGATGAAAAATTTAACCCCTATAAGATAAGGTCAAGAAATACTGCATTGAAAACTTTACTCTGAATGCATAAATTTAGATTAAGAACTTTCATCTGACGATGAGTAACTTGAACTAAATAGTAATACATTCAGTTTGTATACAAAGGATATTTCAATGAAAACCTACACAGCATTCTAGTAAAATTCAGATTTCTCATTCAATAAATACACATGAAGGAAGGAACAACTAGCATCCACTAACATTAACGCTATGCAAATCTTAGCAGCGTCCTGTATAAAGCATTATTTAAAAGGAACATGACATAGAAATATATAAAAGGCTAAAGTATGAAGGATAAAATTAGAGAAGTAAATACCAACCCCAAAAATTTATCACCATGACAACTTTTTCAACACTATGTTGCATCAACATTTGAATAAGTAATAATTAGCAAACGACTAAACTATGGAAAACATTCATGACTAGCATTGATATGGTTTACATTGACAATTTCCAATCAGTACCTGTAACAAACCAATTATAAAACACAAGTGCACAAACTGCTTTTCATAAAATAATATTATATATTTCTTCATCAGAATAAAGTATTACCCAACCATTCATCTGGATACTGCGAATATAAGGCAAGTTAACTTTTCATAAATTAAAATTTAGGTTTATTTATTGTATTGAAGCAATAATCAAAACTTTACAATTAATCTAAAGTCAAGCGAGTATTAAAAAATGATGATATTTAATATAGCCAACTGTTTCGAAAACTGAATCACTTATTGTTACATTAGTAAGCCTTTAAACAGTACACTTATTGGCGCTTCCGAAGTAAGTGAAGATGGTTGACACTGGAACATAGTATGTGTGAGTACCAGGTTAGGCCAAAATTTTACTCCAATTTTCCTTATTTCAGTTCTATTCTGCGTTCGGAGACTAGCCAAGTGACTCCAGTAGTATTTGTACCCGAAATTATGGCCCAACCCTAACCTGGTACACATACTACATTCCGGTGTCTGCCATCTTGGTTCACATAATACAGGAGTACCACTAATGTTCTGTCATACTACTAGATTGGTTATGATTTTTCTTAAAATTTTCAGCACCGTATCAAAGTAGTATAATTTCAGATTACAATGTTTTATTTTACCGAACGTAATTGCTCAATTGAAGTATCATCTCACATAAATCTAAAAATCAAATCATCTTGAAATTATAACAAATGAATTTAAAGTTATTTATTGTTCTTTCTTTACTTCTCCGCTGTTATTCTTCTTCTGCCATTCTTTCTTCTTGTACGCTTTCTGTCTGATCGCCTCCCCTTTCTGCAGCATGATGTAGGCATAGACCCAATTAGGAAGCAAACGAACTATCCAGCCTTCAAGGCCATGTGCCCAGTAGCCATGAGTGAATCTAAAAATAAGGATTGCAAAAAGTACCATGAGTTAACAGCGATAACAAGACAGAATTCAACAAGAAAGATAGAAGAGGATTTTCATTTTAACCCAGTGGGAAAGGAGAGCAAATAGGGAAATCATCAAACTATTTAATATTTCAGAAAATTGATTAAGTTTATTTCGTTATATCAAACTATTTTTGGGTTCTATTATTCTACTACAGATGCCACTGCGTGAAATAATCCCACCTATTCCTGAATTCTACGAGGTTCTGGAGCTTCTGATACTCCTTTGATTTTCCCCAAACTTCATACATTTATGGGTTTTCGCATCATAAAAAATAAAGTCCCGCTGCCTACAATTCTGAATGCAAACCAAGGACCAATGAAGCATTCCATCACAATTTCCAATTGACATAAGCCAGTGATTTTGACGAGTTTCAGATTCAGCAAATAACCCAAAAATCATATCATTCTTTCAAATTGGGGAAGTGCCAACACTCTTAAAGTATTTCAATCCTTAAGAAAATTCTTTTTAAATGACGGGATCAAATTTAGATAAGCAGACATGGTCAATATCCAATAGCTGACAAATCTAATTTGCACAAATTGGACACAGCAACTGATATTGTTTTTAAAAGAAATAGATTCAAGATAAGCCACACTCAGTCACTTAGAAGTAAAGGTGACCATCAATGAGTGAGCTTACAGGCAACAACAGAAATGCAACATGGGCAACCACGGAATGTTGGATTTAAAGTTGGAATATGGTGTAGTTACGGACAACAACTAAAACTAGAATATCGGTTAGAAACTGAAGACTTATCGATCGAAGGTTAGGGGATTCCCCCAAAACAGTGGTCTTACTCCATAGTGACACCGTGTGTCCCATCACTAATTAATTAATACCTCGCTAATTATGAGACATAATCCATCCAAAATCAATAGGCTTCTGATCCGAGCTATGATGAATGCACATGCAAAATTTGGAGCAGATTCAACCTCGCTTTCGTGAGATATCGCGTGCATCTAACACACAGACAAACAGACAGACAAATACCTATCAACATACTTACCGATCTTAAGATCGATAAGTAATAACAAGATCTACTGGGACTATAAAATTTGTGTAAGTAAAAACAGACCGATGTGAGACTCGAAGTCGTTCAAGTCAATACGATTCAATAAAATCACAGCGTCCAATATTAAACAACTTACTTGGTCACTCCAGCACCGCGTAACATACTCTTCGCATAAACTTCAGGAGTCGGCACAAGAAGACTCGATGCTCTGATTTTGGACAATTTTGTAGTAACGTAGAATGGCATAACACTTTGGATCTTTATTCCTTGGTCTTCGTATTCATAGGCGATAGATTTTGAAAAATGGTTGACGAAATCTTTTGAAGCAGAGTAGAGGGCAAGCATAGGTGTTGGTTTCAGTGCTGCAGCTGATGTTATGTTGAGAATGATCCCTCTCTTTCTGTCTGCCATGCCTGGAAAACGATGAGATAAAAAAGAATTGCAAAGTTGGAGCTGCATGTTCTCACTGAAGTCGGATTTGGAGTTGTATTTTCAAATTCACCAGAGTCGAGGATCAAAATTCCAAATTTCAGTTGAAATTGCAGACTTCCAATGGTGGTAAAATACTAAAACTAATTCAATGGGCCATTCAACTAAAAGAGTCAAAAGTCGATTTTAAAAAGTTAAAGAGTTTTACAATAAAAAAAAATATGCTTTCCTGAAGTAAGATTGAATAATATTAGTGTAAAACTACAACAGAAAGTTCAAGTAAAGAATTAAAATTCAAGGCAGTAATATACCTGGGAGCACAATTTCAGTCATTTTCACCACTGACATGATGTTGCCTCTGATCATTCTCATGATAGTAGCGGAGAGATCGGGTAATTGAAGAAAGTATTCAGGGTGTTCGTATGAAATCCCCATGTTGTTGACAAGGACGCCAATATCTAAATCTTTAATTTCTGACGAGATTTCCTCGTAGATCGACTCATCGTGAGTGAAATCGACACGAACTATTTTTGTTTCAACGTTAAAATCGTTTTCTATTTCTTTTGCTGTTGATTGAAGTTTTGCCAGGTTTCTGCTAATAAGAACTATTTTTTGTCCTCGCTGAGCTAGTACCCTGCAATGGAGACAAAAAGACATGCAAGAGAATAGAAAATATGATTGTTGAAATGGATTGCTTCACTAAATTGTTGTTGTATGATATTCCTTTTAATGATGTAGAAAGTATCTGCCGTTGCATGCAAAACAAAATCTTGAACTGACTTAATTATGCTCATTAATTATGTTACAATACATCTTGATTTCATGAAATTTATATTTTTCTGACGACTTGAACTTAACATTAACGGCATATACAGGAGGAATACTGGATTCATCGCCGTTATATGGTGTTTTATGTAGCCGCTGGTCTGATACGACTTCACTACCAAGCTCATGCATCTGAAACAAATAACTGGTAAGCTACCGTAATCCCATACCCAACATGAACTGGTAACCGAACAAGAGGCCATGTTTCGCCATATAATCAAGCCATCTTATTGGCTTTCTATTCCTGGGATTATTGTCTGTGTAATAAATATTTTGTAAATTCAAAATAAATTGCAGTTCCAAAGAGAACGAATCACAAGAAATAACGCAATACCTCGCAGTTGCTTTTCCAATACCATCAGTAGCTCCAGTGATAACAGACCATTCTCCATACTGACGAAAATCCGGATAATTGCTCAGAAAGTAAAGTTTGACACCAGAGTATATATCCCATAAGAGACGAAGACTGAGATAGGTTAGACTTGCAAGTCCTATATACGCTACACAATTACACTCCATTGTACACTATTTACAAAACACACCCTATACAGGTCTAAAATTTATTTATTAAGTCACCTGAAAATAAAGTGTTCATCGATGAAATAATAATAGAAATGAAGCGGCAATAATCAGGGTCAGGGTAAATATATAATCTTTTCTGACTCATGGTTGATGGAAATTTAGACTCTGACTCAAGCTGTAGAAATCAAATTTGGATAGTGAAACTTTTTGTGGAAACCAAGTTTTCTTTAATAAACCGTTAAAAATGCTTAGTCAATTCGATTTTTCAGTGTTTGAAGAGTTTTCATTTTTTCAATTATCGCCAAGGAAGTCTGAATTTGAGTACCGGTAATTCAAAATAACTCGAGTTTCTAAATATGACATATGCGTTCAAATGACTGCTATTAAATGAATTCCCAGAGGAATACAATTCAAAGTAAATTACTTTAAGGAATCCACATACGGCAGTACAGCACACTATCCAAATTCCAAGAATTTTCCTCCATTTAACTCAATAAAACAAACACTCTATGTGTCTCACAAACGAGGGGCGTCCGAGACCACGTCAGATGCGTCATATCACACCATGCTTGTCTCAATAATAATCCAAGTTAATCGCGGCCGTCACATGACCAAAATTGCCTATTTTTGCTAAAAACTCTCGAATGCTACGGTAGAATTTTTTCTCCGTCAGTAAATCGGATTATTTTTTTCCCAAGGAATTCAGTGATGACGTTACTAGATTGCCCTTATTTGTAGTAATTTGCGCAACTTCATTATACTGTATTATTACTGATGTTGAGGGACAACAATGTCCAGACGTCTCCCAAACGAGGGGTGTCTGATCCTCTGTAAAATGGGTTTCTCTAAAACTGGACATTTTCACCCGATTTGTATAGTGTGCCGTACTGTACGGTAACTATCAGATCAGTATTACGGTACTAGTATTACTCTGCTAAAAATTTAATTTGATATCAATGATCTAAAAACAGGATAGTATTAATTAAGATGGCCTACGACTGGGTCCAAGTTGAGAAAAGGAACGTTTAGTAAATATAATCTACAATTTCAAAAATTTGAAAATACACCACTACCTCAAGAGTTATTTTTTTCAAATATAAATTGAACAACACACATCCAAATAAGACTATCCAACTAATGTTGGATTTTTTTAAGCTAACACTATTTAATAGCACGGTTTGAGCAACAGTAAATAGCAAACCACAATGGTTTTTAACTACTCTACTATCTTTGAGCTACTTATTTCACATAAGAATTGAACAACACACATTCAGATGAGAACAAAAGACGGGGCTCCAGAAGTATGCGCACCAAGATGTCGCACAACCTGAACCCTAACCGGTACACACATACTATGTTCGGTTGTGCGCCATCTTGGTGCGCATACTTCGGGAGGTCCCAAAAGACTATCCTCTTACTGACATAAAACAGTAAAAACAGTTGATTGGCAACAATACAAAACAATTGAAATGTTTAATAGGTAAACCAGCATATATGGTTTTTGATAGTGAACAACTATATTGTCCACCAGTTTATTGTCTTTACTTTGACCTAGGGATAAATAGGAAATTCTAAATTCCACATCAGAGAAATGCTGTTCTTCTATATTAAATACATGAAATATCGGCTCACAAGGGTAGATTAATAACAATCTACTCATGGTTGACAGAACGGAACTTGTATCCACCGGCTGAAGGTCTGTTATTTTGGTATGAACCCTGGTTTCGTAAACTATCTTGCCATTGCCTTCGCTTTACTCTGTTTAATTCAGCTTTTAAATTCCTTATCTTTCCTTCTAATTCTTGGTTTTTAATCGAATCTAATTCTTTTTGAAGCTGAATTAACTCAGGATCGTTGTGATTTTCTGACCTGAACTTATTCACCTAGAAAAGAAAAAATTCAAATTTCTGCCTTTGACATAAAACTATATGAGGAAAGGAAAGTCATGCGTCAGTACTAATATTGTAAGGGCCTGAAAGCACTGAGATTGCTGAAAAAATTTGCGGTTTTGTGTTTTCCACTAATTACTATCAAACAGCAAAATTTTTGTGGAAATATCGAGCTAAACAGGAGTCAGACAAAGTTAATAGTAAACAATAACAGACTAGTGGCTTCTCAAATTTTTGCTGAAATTTTAAAATCGATTGGTGGTCCAATGTTTTTGGTAACAGTATCATATTTAAAAAAAAAGGGATGAAAAAAAAACGAGAATATCGGTCAGAGACCGAAGACTTATCAATTGAAAGTTAGGGGATCCCTCAAAACAGCGCTCTGTCTCCATAGTGAGACCTTGTGCCCCATCACTAATTAATTAATTACTCGCTAATTATACGACATAATTCGCCCAAAATCAATAGGTTTCTGGTCCGAGATATGATGAATGCACATGCAAAATCTGGAGCAGATTCAATCTCGCTTTCGTGAGATATTGCGTGAATCTAACAGACAGACAGACAGACAAATACCTATCAACATACTTACCGATTAAAATCGATAAGTAACAATAATTAGGTTCTATTAACCAATAATACAATTTACCTTAAGACAGTAAGAATGATTTATCACACAGAATTTGACCACATATACTCAAAAAAGAAGAAAAAATTTGAATTACTTTTTCAATTGTATTCAAGGTCTCTTGACGTTTCCTTTCTAAACTTGAATCAACTTCTATAATTTCAGATTGAAGTTGAGATATTTCTGCCTGAAAACAAGCTTTTTGTTCCATCAATTCTGTTGCTTTTTCCTCTTCAAATTTCAATTCTTGTAATCTTGTTTCAGCTAGTTCAATTTCACTCTCAATTTTCTCAAGCTCAAAACTTTTCTCTTCTTTGCGTTTTTGAGCTCCGACACCAGTAAGATCATATTGAGCACAAAACTCCAAAACATTTTTTGAAAAATCAGATTTTAATTTTTCCAAGATATTTTCCTTTTCTGCTACAACAAATTTCAATTGATCAATCTCTTTTACGATTTCTATTTTTCTCTCCTGCAAACCCTTTTTTTGCTGGAGCAAAACTCTACATTCTGCGTCTTCCTCATGATATTGTCGAACAAAGACATGCAGCCTGCCCTTCGATGATACACAAGACTCTTTCAGGGATTTAAGATCAGATTGACAGTCTGAAATCTCCTTCTTAATTCTCACAATACTTTCTTTCCGGTTTTCAGCTGTTTGTTCAGACTGTATTATCTGCTGGAACAATCTTTCCAAACTCATTTTGTAATTTTACTCGGTGCAAAAATACTCTTACTGACTAAAGCATGCAAAAAGCTGAAGATACAATAATAAAAAAGTTTTTTTAAGCTGTAAAGACAGAATTAAATCAGCGTAAACACTGGAATTAAATTGTGCGAACTTAAAGAGTCAAGGCAGCAAGCTGTTCTCAACATTTATTCTTTTGTTTACTCATTCAGTCGTTAGCAAATTTTGAAATTTAATCCAAACTTCAAAATTTATTTTCTGTTGTACAGTTCTAGGCCTGTAGAGGCTGTACGTTAGGTCTATGTTATATCTTTTTTTGTCAGAAAAAGTTACATTATCATTAAATGAAATCTTACCAATAGCAACTTGCTAATTCGTAGAATAGGATTACCATCAGATAATTATTAGAAATACAACCCTCCCCAACTTTTTTTGGAGAAACTGCGATGTCTGAATGTAAAAAAGTACCGGTACGGTAAGGTATTAGTCTACCGGTGCGGAAAACTGGTATCGTACCTGAATAAATTTACATACCTGATTCTGTTTAACCCGGCCGAGAGGTCGTAGTTGTCATAGGATTGTGCAGTCTTATCACCTTTCTCCCCCCAGCAGATGAATATTTAAGTTGGTCTACGCAAACTGTGCGGCGCAGATGCAAGATTGCAAGAATCAGTTCCCCAGACCCGATCGCGAGGCTATGGTATAACACCGAAGGGCGCTAGTGTGCGCCGAAGGATTGTTAAAGAGACGTCACATTTTCGCACGGACAACGCTGGCGCATCCCGAGCGTGCAGGATTGCTCACTAACCGATAGACCACGCGGTGGGGAAGCTTCGTACGGTACTTCTGGAATGACAGCGGTAACAAAGGCATCTAGGAGGGTATTCAGGCAGTAAATGATCAGCGAGGATAGGTTGTCATAGTTGAGAAAAAGGAGACATAACTGATAACGAAACATCGTGGAGGAAAGCGGGTAATAAAGAGTCAAGTCGACCGAGTAACGTCACTGATTCTGCAAACACAAAGGCGGCAGGGACAAGACAAAGTAGGCGAGACCAGAAAAAATGGCCGGATGAAGGGAAAAAGTGTTGTACGCGGTGAAGAATCCTAGTGCAGCGTGAAAAGGATATGGGTGTGGCTGGGTGAGGAAGTGCAGTCGTTTGGCAAGGACAGCCTGAGAGAATGCGAAAAAAGCAGTCAGTAAGTTATGTGAACACACACACTCCCAGTGCAGTTGTAAGAATAAGTGGGAAGAAGATGACTACACAGAAGTGAGGATGTCAGTCAGTGCAGACGACAGGAAAAGTGGAAGGTGCATAAAGTGGGTGGGAGACATGTGAGGTCGCAAATTGAATGAGGATGATGGATGATGCTAAAGGTTGGCCACAGGACGGGCCATAAAAAGAACAACAACAAACATCATTAAAGAAAAGTAGGCTAGAAACAAAACAGTTTGCTGCTATATATAAAGTGAACAAGCACATTATGTATGATACAACAAATTAAACATAACATAAACACAGATTGGAAAGTTGCCAAAGGTCATAAAAAAACAAAACCAAACATTATTGAAAAAAGTAGAAATCAAACAATTTAATGTTTTTCTAAAGCAAGCACATCATGCATGAATGATACAATAAGTTACACATTAACGGTACAGAACAAAAACACATACACACAAGACGAAAAGTTGCCAAAACATCGGATGATTTATTTAAATTTTTTTTATTTTAAAATAGTTGATTTAATGGAATCAATCAAAACACCTTCAATCAATCTTCAAGAACCCTGTCACAGTCATTTCCGCAGGGAAATTTCTGGAGTTATTCATTCCTTTGGTAAATGTTGAATTTGGGATATAGGCCTAAGAAGTCCAAAAGGGTGTGTTACCGGAAATGACGATAATGCGAGTTTCTTAGGTCTAAAGCACCAACGGCGACATGAGGTTGAGTTACACTGTATCACAATTTCCATAAGTCGCCAATGACGATTCTGCCAAAATTTGAATTGCGGCAAGATTCCGTATATTTTCGGATTCTCTAACTTTTTGATTATCTTCTTTTAGGATATGCTTCGTAAATATTACTTATATCAGGCAGTACAGATGCCTCTCAACTGAGTACAAATGTGATACTTGGATTATTCGTTTCAGAATTATTTCAAATCTGAATACAAAAAGGGCCTGACAACATGTAAAGAAGTAAAGAAAAGGCGCGAAAACTGCCTCGTTGATTGCAATTTCTGCCTCTCCGGTCACTTTTTCTTATTTATTTGTTATTACTGAGGTGAACAAGAAAATTTATGCTATCTCTATGCTCGGCGGTGTGGCTCGTCGTGCCAAGTGGTTGAAATATGCTCGCCATTGCACCTCTGATTACTATTCGTGGGTTCGCAGGTTCGAATCTCATGAGGAGATAAATATGTTCGAGAGGATTGCAACAAAATATTTAGCGTAACCACTGGTCTCCAGCACCAAGTCCATGTATCTGAAAACAAATAACTGGCCAACTAATCCCATACCTGACATGGAATGATAAACCGGACGAGAGGCCTTGGTTCGCCAAATGAGTAGTCCGACTTATGACTTTCCTCTCCCCTGGGTTAAATATGTAAACCCTATCCTGTGTCAAACGCGTCTCTCTCTTGTAGTAGTCCCAGTCAAGTCCATGCATCTGAAACAATATGCCTAATGTAGCATATGGCATAATATCTAATATGGGATTCTCGAAGTGGATTGTAACCGGACGAGAGAAAGAGAGAGAGAGAGTTTATTTCGTTTTGTCAAACCATGAAAACAATATATACATACATACATACATATATAAACATCAAATAAACAGATGTTTTCGGTATATGACTGGGAAGCAACGATACGACCTTTGGGGGTCATCAAAGTCAGTTGCCACTCAATTCAATTAAATAAGCATAAAAACAAATAACAAGTTCAGTGTCAATATATCAATACCTCTCATTTTTGTTTACTATATACAATATTTACACGTAATTACCATTTTTCAGTATCAATTAAATTTCAACAAATAGATTGGAGCCCAGGCACTCACATACAAATTATTTGGGAAATTAGCTGGCATATTGACTTTATAAAATGAAGAATGTAACATTTTATAACACGATTTGGGACAATTTGAATGTGAACATTTAATAGTAGTCATAATCGAATACGTAAAATTATATGAAATCATTTTACAGAGTAAGGACCATGAATGCAATATAAGCTTGGCATATTAACCTTAAGAAATAAAAAAAATGAAGAATACAACATTTTATAACATGATTTGGGACATTTTAAATATGAGCATTTAATAATACTGTAGTAATCAAATATAAAAATAGAGAGATAAAGTTGATTATGAAATATCATGGATGGGATATTGGGTGAAATTTTTGTTTAGAGCAGTCAAGTACAACACACGATATGTAACATTGGTGAATATAGCGAAGAATTGCAAACAGAAAAAAAAAAGTGTTTCGGCATATTCGCCTTATCGGCTTCCCTCTTCTCAGAGATAAATATGAAAATCCTATTCCTTTTCTACCATATTCCTTCGGGTATTTCTGGGGAAATTCTTGACGCCGAACAGCAGAAAACTGCCTTATCATGGTTAATTACATGTGATATTCTCGCTGAGTCATTTTAGTGATTGTTTTGTTTTGGAGTTAGTACCTCGGTGCGCTACGTTCCTGCGTTTCGTACTGTGCTTCGCTTCGTAAATTCGGCTTGGTTTATTCATATACTGAATACTGATTTAGCATCACTTGGCTGCCTGGTAGCATTACTATAACGGTATCTGGGAATCGAAAAAGTTGAAAAAAAAATCGCAGCTGCGATTCTAATTGTAAAGATCTTGTACAGTCGTATGTTGGTGTCTCTCTCAGTCTCTAGAGTCAGAGAGTTTGGAAATGGAATCAACTTCCGTAGACAAAAACCAACCTGCTAAGATGTCAGAAAATGGTAAGTGAAGTTTTACTTGAGTCCAGTAAAGTTTTTTTTAAATCTAAAATTCCTACTAAACCAGCAAACTAAATAGCCTATCACTGTTGTATCGGGACATCTTGAAATCGAGGAATGAATAACGACCCTCAGCGGTGTGGCGCATCGTGTTAAGCGTATGGAATACGCTCGACACCGCACCTCTGGTGACCCTGCGTTGGTTCGCAGGTTCGAATTCCATGCAGGATGGTTATGTACCAGCCTACCACAGTACCAGGGGTAACTGCTGGGTGGTTACGGCTTCCTCCACCATCATGCTTTCGAAAACAAATAACTGGCTGACTGATGCCATACCCAGCATGTACTGGTAACCGGACGAAAGGCTGTGGTTCGCCATATGATTAAGCTGTCCTATCAACTTCCCTCTCCCCCGGGATGAATATGTACATCCTATCCTATAACGAATCGTTGAGTGAACACATACCATTTTTTTTAGCAAAACCTTCCATCTTATATTCTGTATGTTTCAAACGTTATCTGAGTTTTTTTTTTTGCTCTCCTGATTTCATAATCAGTTTTTATTTATTTGCTTTTATCAATCATTTTATTGTTTTTTATGCTGATTATGTAATCGAAATAAACTTATACTTATACTACTGTACTAACTGTGCCCTACTGCAATAAAGTTGAGATAGATTTGCTGTAATTTTATTTCATCTAGATTCTAATCTGGACTATGTATCTCTTTTCAGAACAAGTGGAACTTGTGTTTTTGAAGTTTGGTTTGGCTCAATCAGATCTAGAGTTTGAAGCTCTTGTTGAAAGATTTTTGCCAACAATTCTTGGGAAAGTATCAAGTGCTGATGAAAATATTAGAACAAAGGTATCATGGTTGATATTATATGACAGGAAACCTGTTTTATATTTGTTTTCAATATTGGTTTAAGGTTAAGTGGTACATTAGTAGAGTATTTTCAAAACTGTTATTTATTGTGGACCTCCTGAAGTATGCGCACCAAGATGGCGCACAACCTGAACTCAGGTTGTGTACCAGGTTAGGGTTCAGATTATGCAACATCTTGGTGCGCATACTTCAGGAGTATCTTTATTGTTGTTGTGGCCCAGCCTTTTACAAATATTACAAACCGATTCCTAATCGTAAGTTGAAGATATTTTGTTTAGTTGGTTTGGGTATTTTATCACCTATGTTCTTTGGTTTGAGATTCAATTTTACACTTGTTTACATCAAGTTGTTTAGCCTAGTGGGTATGTACTCAAGAAGGAAGTTTCAATTCTTACTGTCAATGAGATTCATATTTATTTTTCAATTTTGTTTATGAAGTCCACTTTGACTTGGAATTGACTTATTACCCCTAAAAATAAAGAATGCAGCGACTCGTCTACATACTCAAACTTACTTATTTGCGGATGTGGATGTAAGGGATTGTATCCAACATTGGATATGCCTAGCTAAGAAGGGTTGTGATCCTTCTGATCTGATTAATATTATTTATAAACATTATTTCTAATTTTTTGCTGATTTCGAATTCGCTTTTTAAGGTCATGCAGCTACTTAATCACATCAGCAATCGTTTGAAATCAAGATCAGATGTGAAATTACCTATTGATAAACTTCTACAACTATACAAAGAGTCAAAGTCGTCATTTATTGTGGTATGATGCATTTTATCAGTAATTTACAAAATTGCCTTTAAGACCTTATTTTGATAAAATAGATCAGGGCTTTCTTGTAATCAAAATAAGTTGACGAGAGTTTTACTCTTGACTCCAACTCCAAATATGACTCATTTTTAAGAAGAACTCTGGCTTCGACTCTGATTCTAAATTTTGACTCCGTTCCCGACTCCTAGAAATTTAGGGCCATTTCTGGAATATGACTTCAGATCCATTTGTAAGAAAAAAAAATGGGATCACAAAGTTTGATTTCTGAAACTCCGACTCTGAGAGCTTGAAAATATGTTTTCGGCTTGGAATCAAATATCTCATAAAAATGTGAATATCTCATAAAAAACTCCCAACTTCTTACTCCACACATTTCTGGCTATAACGTTTTTTTTTCTCATTTTAAAATTTTCCATGAGTCGGGTGGCGCAGCAAATAGAGCTGAGAGATCATAAATAAACTATGGTTATATATAAAGAATGTGCTTCATCCCTCCATGCACTCGGGCTGCCCATGGCATTGGCAGTTCATCCACCGCCGTTAGACGATGCTCGATAACCTTTCAGGTTTTTCACAGTTTTACAGTAGATGAGCATGAATAATACGTAGGCTATATTACACAACTCAATATACAGGAAGGGGAAAAGACCTCTCTTATTTCATTATTAATTTAATTCATAAAGAATTTAAAAGATTGGAGGTTTTTTGCCTCCAATCTGTATATGAAATGAATGTAATTGATGAACATAATTGATAGTGAAATACAGTTCATTCCATTTTTTTTTATTTGTATTTATTTCAGAATTTCACCATAATCTACATCAAACTTGGATTCCCAAGACTTCCAGTAGCAGAACAAGCGAAACTGGCTCCTCAGTTGTTTGCTGTGTTAGAGGTATTTTGGTTAAAACTCAGAAACAATCTTATAATAATAGACAGTCAGAGTGCATGTTTCTGTTAATCTATAACAACTGAGTATACTTCTATGCTAAAACATTTTGTATGCTTATAATTTCTCTGTCCACTTGAACAGAATCTTTTTTTTCTAGCTGATTATTATCGTTTGTGTATCTTGTTCAAGTTTATTCCTCAACAAGGTAAAATTGGACTGTTTCAAGGTCATCAACTGTATTTCTGTATTTCAGTCAATAACAATATCACCAATAAATCACTCTTTTTCTATATATATATACATTCTGGTATATCGTTGCAGTCTTGCGTTCATACTCTTAGCAAACACCATTCTGAGACTCTTCGTGTTTATTATTTCAAGGCAGGATATTGCAGACTCTTGAACTAGAATGACCCCTGAAGGCTGAATTATAATTAATCAACCACATTCATCATTACAATCAAACTTAAAAGTTGGGAAATGAGTTTTTGACTACAAAAATTTTTGACATTTTTGAAAAATTTTTTAATTGGAAATTCTTATTTTAAAATCATTGAGCCTAAATCTTGTATTCACGGCCAAGTATTTTCACCTGAATTTTCCAATTTTTTCAGGATAAACCTAAAATACACCAAGATGCATTGATTCGTCTACTTATCACGACCTTCCCACATATCAAGTTACCTGATGATCCTGAAAAAAGAAAAGAATTATTCCAATTCGAAAAATCACCAACAACAACTAAAAAGTTACTGGAATTTTGTTTGGATGTGATTTTGATGCCGTATAGGTGAGATGATGTACATTTTTTTATGAAGTTTTTACATGCCTGTCATTTTGAACTAGGCATTTATAATCAGCCACTGATATCTGACAATATATTCTGAAATGTTTCTAGTCAGGCAAACAGTGAAAAACCGTCAAAAAACACCAATAACCCTGCTAAAACGCTTAAAAACAGTGAAAAACCGTCAAAAAACACCAATAACCCTGCTAAAACGCTTAAAACAGTGAAAACCGTCAAAAAACACCAATAACCCTGCTAAAACGCTTAAAAACAGTGAAAAACGTCAAAAAACACCAATAACCCTGCTAAAACGCTTAAAACAGTGAAAAACCGTCAAAAAACACCAATAACCCTGCTAAAACGCTTAAAAACAGTGAAAAACCGTCAAAAAACACCGATAACCCTGCTAAAACCTTAAAACAGTGAAAAAACCGTCAAAAACACCAATAACCCTGCTAAAACGCTTAAAAACAGTGAAAAACGTCAAAAAAACACCAATAACCCTGCTAAAACGCTTAAAAACAGTGAAAAACCGTCAAAAAACACCAATAACCCTGCTAAAACGCTTAAAAACAGTGAAAAACCGTCCAAAAAACACAAAAACCGCTAAACCTAAACAGTGAAACGTCAAAACACCAATACCCTGCTAAACGCTTAAAACAGTGAAAAAACCGTCAAAAAAACACCAATAACCCTGCTAAAACGCTTAAAACAGTGAAAAACGTCAAAAAACCAAATAACCTTGCTAAAACGCTTAAAAACAGTGAAAAAACCGTCAAAAATCACCAATAACCCTGCTAAAACGCTTAAAAACAGTGAAAAACCGTCAAAAAACACCAATAACCCTGCTAAAACGCTTAAAAACAGTGAAAACCCGTCAAAAAACACCAATAACCCTGCTAAAACGCTTAAAAAACAGTGAAAAACCGTCAAAAAACACCAATAACCCTGCTAAAACGCTTAAAAACAGTGAAAAACCGTCAAAAAACACCAATAACCTTGCTAAAACGCTTAAAAAACAGTGAAAAACCGTCCAAAAAAACACCAATAACCCTGCTAAAACGCTTAAAAACAGTGAAAAACCGTCAAAAAACACCAATAACCTTGCTAAAACGCTTAAAAACAGTGAAAAACCGTCAAAAACACCAATAACCCTGCTAAAACGCAATTCATTATACCCTGGGTGATTGTTATGGCATGGTGCTTGAACCTCGGCTCCTAACCTCTGACTCTTTATTGTTCTATTTGTTTTACTCACCCACTGAACAACTACTGAGGTTCAGTGATAATGCCACATTTGATAATACCCTATTATATTATGAAATATATTGAGTTTCTATCGATTTTGTATTTATCTATGTAATATTATTAATGCAATATTTGCCAGTTATAAAAGGTGGCATTATAAATTTGACAAAATTTTTAACAATTATTTCTCAGTGTCATTGCTGCCCCTGAGCCGTCATCTCGCCCATCAACAGCTCCTGTTCAAGGTGAAAGGTCATCACCATCGACAACAACGATTGTTCCTCCTGGATTGAGTTTAAATGCTGTGAAAAGATTAGCTAGCGACTCATCTGATTCTTCATGGAGTATTGCTCAGATTGAACAATTTAAGGTTTTGAATATATTTGTTTCTAATTTATATAAACTGTGTTTTTGTTATGCGAGCTAATTATGTGCGAGAGAATTGCTGCTGGTCAGTTACGGCTTCATCAAACACCAAGTCCATGCATCTGAAACGGCGGTGAGGAGTCCAGATACTCCCACACATAATTACCATCGTGAGATTTTACCTTGCGAACCCGTGCAGGGTAACAAATGGTGTGATGGTAAGCGTGTTACTAATGCTTTAGTACAATGCACCAACAGCCAATCCTTGTTTTGTAGGTGTTCTTCTATGGTTTTGGTATTTCTATTATTCCTTTGGCCTTCAATATTGGTTGATTTTGTATAAAGTAAGTTTCACATATATAAATCACATCCTGTTATTTGAAATCTTCGATACTAGCTTGTTGTCTACTTTTATGATAAAATTATGTTTCAATTTAGGTTGGTATCTTGAATCTGATTGGAGGAGATGTATTTCCTGAAAGTGACATCATAATACATCTTATCATTGCCAGTAGTGACACAAGACATACTGTTTCTAATCCTGCAGATTTGGAACTGAAGAAAAGGCAGAGGTACGATAGTGTTTTTATATAGTGAATTTATGGTTTGTTTAGAATGCTGAGTACACGCGCCACAAAATTGTATGAACCGTGGAGAAAATGCCAATTTTGAATGGTGTACGACTCGCGAAACGAGTTTTCAATTGTAACTGCACGCCATTTGGAAGTGTTACGTTTTGGGAAAAATACTGAAATCTTCATTTGTTTATCATCATTTAGGTCTCTCGATTGGGAAGATTCATCTCTGAACTCAATGTTATATCGATTATATCTGGGAGAAGCTCAAACATTAACTGCTGCTCAAAGGCGTCAAAAACCAAATCCTGCTTCATTGAGAAAACCTGTTGAATTAAGGTGAAGTGCTATTTTTCTTATCTCTGAACAAGGCTTCATATCTGATTTTGTCAAGGAGTTACTGAGCTTGAAAGAACAATAATATTTTGTTTTTGATATGCCGTTTTAGTTAGGGCTATGAGATTGGTGAGAAATTTATCTACAATGGACTGCAAATTTGGCGCCATTCGAATGATACGTCAACTCCTATTTGACAAAATCAACGACCTAATCAATTTTTCTACTATGGGTCTCTCAGCGCAGAGAGTCAAATTTGGAAGTATGCGAACCCCCTTTAATTGTCTGTTGAAAATCCTCAGTATATTTCATGCTTTTTTAATTTACGGTATGTAAGAAATTTTGACATGTTAGGCGCCATAATAAGCGTAATATTCTAAAATCCAACTGCAAAGAATTCCAAATTTCTAGTTTTGATCATGAGTCTTCACTGCCAACTCCTAGTATTCTGAAAATACAACTTCTAACTTTGACTCTGTCTATAGAAACATGACAAACTTTGGATCCTGACTCCATAGCCCGTTCAGTTTTTTTATCAATGTGATGGACCTGGGTTTAACATTGACCTGACTAACATGTTTCTAAGGTAGATCCCAGTACAGTTTAGCCAATAAACCTGAAATAAGGTGAGATATGCTGCAGGCTATTGACAAGGGTCTGGACAACAATTGTAAATGTTGTCATTTTTCATTTTAATCTTTCTTTTTAGAATCAAACTGAAAATTATTCAAAACTTACTTCGATCACAAACTTCAACAGAACGTTTTCCATTGACGATTCAACTAACATATGATGCTTTGTTTGCTGAAAATACAAACGCAAGATTGAGAGTCCTGGGATTAGAATATGTTCATCATATTTGTGAGAAGTAGGATTTGATATTCATTTTATTTTAAATTATACGGTTTATTTTAGTATAATTTTTAGAGACGACCATTAGATTTAACTGGATAAATGGAATTAATTTCTAAATGAAGCAAATTTATTGAAGTACCATGAATTTATGTCTTATTTGTTAAACTCTTACTATTAGTATGTTTGCAACACTTAATTTGTTTCTTAATTTGTCTTTTAAAGTCTCATGTATCTCATTCCCAATTTTTGTGATGAAGTGAAGGTATGAATTGTTTCGCTAAATTACTATTGGCGCTATTATTAAAAATTCACTTTTTTTTTAAGTAGTAATCGACAGAGTGATTTCAAATTTTTAAATATGCGGAAGTCGCTAGTAAGCTACTTCTATTATTTTTCATATTTCTTAGAAGTTCTATGAGGACTGATATTTTACCCAATATATTATTTAATTTTAAATAATGGGAACATTTTTTTATAACAAATGGGAACATTTTAATATGACATTTGACTGTAATCTTTACGTCTAATGAATTTGTAACTTTCAGCTCTGTCATCTATTTATCTACCCATTTCATTATTTGTTTATATTCGTTTTTTGTTTCAGATGCGAACTTTCTAAGCTCCTACCCCAGGCCCCACTTCTACTCAACGCTATGTTGAAAACAACCCAGGGGTTTGAAAATGAACCAAGAACGCAGGGGTTGGGTTACACAGCGATGGGAAAACTTGCAAGACGTGTTCCTGATCTGTTTTCTACAAATCTTAAGTTGGTTCAAGATGCTTTTCAAGCCCTTTCTAAGGTGAGTTATTTTTGATTTTTACACTCAAATTTTGTGGAATTGAGATTGTGTCATTAGAATAGGATAGGAATTCATATTTATCCAGGAGGAGAGGAAAGCCTATACAATGACTTAATCATATGGCGAACCATGGCATCACATTCTGTTCTCTGTTACTGAAGGGTATAGGATTAGTCAATCAGGTATTTTTTTAGACACACAGACTTGATGTTGGAGAATGACGAGATTGGCCAGTTTTTAAGTGAACTACTCGGCGTCAAAATGGGAGTCCAACAATTCTCTCACTGACAAATACACCTCACATGATTAAAACCTGCAAACTCTTGCATAGTGCAATCATAGATGCAATGACAAGCATGTTCCTAATGCTTAGCGGGATGCGCCAACTGTTAAACCCTTTTTCTGTGAATTTTTATGTAAGCACAACTTATATAAATACATTGAAATTGAATTTCAGAATCCTTCCCAGGAATTAAAATTATACATTCAAGAATCATTAGCAATGATGTCGCAAGCATATAGTAAAGTATCTGAAGATCATTTACCGTTGGTTGAAGCTGTCATTGCTAAATATATCACAGGTAATTTTGTGGTTTAACTGCTAATATGTCACTGTCGCAGATTACACGTCATATGCCTAGCATCTCATTCAGGGTATAATAACTTGGGTATGCAATGTCGAATGGAAAAAATTTCTGGCCTTCCAATAACTAGCAGTTCTTTACATATCATTAGATGTTAGGGGAAGCTTCCACAATCGCTCAACTACTTGACTCCTGGTTAACAAAAATTTTGACTTCTACTTTGGCTACTCAATCCAACCTGAAGGAAACATTGACTCTATCTCCAGCCACTAGCTAAAGGAAAACCAAATTTGGATAACAGAAACTTTGTTGTATGTAATCCTTCTTCAACTGAGAATGCTAAGTCAAATTAATGCCTTTTCTTTTTTCGTCAAAAGTTTATATATTACTTCAAACCCTATTTGTACTCCGGTTCAGACAAGGAGTTTGAACGTGCGAATCTGCCTCTAACCCCAATATTGGTAAAACTATTCCAAATGTAGACTCCACAATCCCGGCATGCATGTCAGATAATTTGCGACTTGTTTTATCTTAATTTGTCATCTTCAAGGGGAGAGCTATTTGATCTAGATGTGGTTGACCTTTTCTTATTTCAGATCCAGATCATCTCTGCAGGTTATCATCAGTCAGATATGCTGGAATTATATTCTCAACTGATCATGTTTCGTCAAGATATTTGTTATTGCTGGCTGCTTCAGATGGTAAGTAAACTAAATACTGTTATTTTGGTAGTCATGTAGACCGAGATAGCAGACACCGGAACGTAGTATGTGTACCAGGTTAGGGTTAGGCCATAATATCAGGTACAAATACTAGGGGAGTCACTTGGCTAGTCCCCGAACTCATAATAGAACTAAAATGAGGAAAATTGAAATAAAATCATGGCCTTATCCTAACCTGGAACACATACTATGTTCCTGTGTCCGCCATCTTGGTTCGCATATTACAGGAGTACCCTTTTTTAGTGAAATATCATGTCCCATTTATCCTATTCTTGCAAGATGGCCTTTTTATATGGTGACATACAACCTTTCTGTTATGGGATTAGTTGGCCAATGGAGTTATTTATTTCCTGAAATTCCAGTATATTTATGAACTATGTTGCTACTATTTGTATACAGTAAAAGAAGATGTCGCTTCTGAAGCAAAAAAACTTTTATACGGGAGTGAAACATCAACAGAGACTGACAAAGATGACAAAAAACAAAATGTGAAATTGCCAAAGTTTTCTGAGATGCTCAATTTTGTTTATGAAAAGGTGTGAACTCTTCTATTGGTAATTTGAAAACAGAATATTTTTTAATGATAATTATAGATCCTTTTTTACTGTTAGAATGCCAAATTACAAGATGTTGCACTTTAATTTACATATCCTCACCGCAAAAAAGTCTAAGTACAAGCAGTCTAACCACTGTTCTACTAGCAGCAGCAGTCTACTATTTTTAGGGAATTCTGCAAGATTTCCAGCTCGGTTTTACCTACTCCATTTATCACACTCTGGATTAGGGGGTGGGATTGTTTCCGGGCCTGAGATCCTCTCAACTTGAGACTGCAACAGTTCCTTCAATTTATAATAAATTTATAATGTACTCAAAATCATTCTGTATTTCAGGCTCAGAAGCGACTCAAAAGTTCTGAACGATTTATCATTGGAATTCAACATATAGCTTTTCCACCTTCAACTTTTCTTGTGTTACTTCAATATCTGAGGAAATGTTTGTTGAATGATGCCAGCATTATAGGTGTAAATATTAAAAACCTGATTCCTGGGGATTTGTCAACTGAAGCCCCTGTAATATCTGAATATATTGAGTAAGTTAATTCGTTTACTTGAAATTCTTGTTGACTTTAGCTTTTCTTGGTGAAATTCCAAAATCTTCGTTTTCACCTGCATCTTGTTTTCATCCAATGTTTGAAAAAGTAAAAATGAATAAAAAAAAATTCAGTTTTACATTATTTCTATGGATGCTTTTCATATTTCTTGAGTTAATGTTAAAAATTAAAAACTATCTTTTATGAATTCAGAACTTTTCACATATTTATTTTATACCTTGGTTAATGATGTACTGAAGCATGACCCTTTGTCTAGTTGCAATTCAAGTTATATATGAAAATAGTTACCGGTAATTTGGTGTAGTTGATTGTTGATGGCTGCAGCTGTAATCAACCTGTGGTTTCATGAACCATTCTAATTATTTTTTTTCAGAAATGAGTTGAAATCTAACGAACAAGCAATGACAAATTTGATTTCCAAATATGTGGAATTGGCAATGCAATTTGTGAAACCAGTTACAGGTGACTCTTGCATTATATTAATATATGGTTGAAAATCCGGTGCTCCCGTAGTATGTGTTCCAGGTTAGGGTTAGGCCGTAATTTTATTTCGATTTTCCCTATTTTGGTACTATTACGAGTTCGGGAACTGTCTGTGTTAGCCAAGTGAATATACCCCCTGCCCATAGGTTTAGATCCCTTTACAAAACTTGATGTAAAGTAGGTGAACAAGTAGGTTCGGGGACTGTCTGACTTTGGTCAGACGAAACATTACAGAAACACACTTGTGTTAGTGTACAGCAGGACTCTTGAATTGGATAGTATAAAAAATTGCAATAACTTTTATTTTGTTTCTCAGATCCAAATGCAGTTTACATTCTTCTTGAGATGTTTGCGATTTGCCCAGATGATTTTCCAGTCAAGAGTTTATTGCTTGGATATAGAGATTCTAATGAAACAGAATCTTACAAAAAAGATGAAGAAGAAAAATTGTTAAACAACAGAATCGAGTGGTTAAAAAATTTGTCTCACCATACGAGAGAGTCTGTGAGTAACACTTGGTGAAACTTTATTTTCGATTTTAAATTTTATGAGCGACTTTGAGATCTCGATTTCTAACGTACTAAATTAGGTGTGCCCAAAGTTTGGTACTCCCGTAGTGTGTATACTAGGTTAGGGTTGGGCCCTAATTTTATTCCAATTTTTTTCTTATTTTAGTCCGATTGCGATTTCGGGGACTGTCTGTGTTAGCCAAATGAAAATACTCCCTGCCCATAGGTTTCAGTCCCTTTATACAACTCAATGTAAAGTAGGCGAACAAAATTAGTTACCTCTCTATTGGTACACACACTTCTGGAGTGCACAAAGTTTTGCTAGGTGACCTCAGTCATGGTGCAGAATTACTCAATGAAGAAAATTACAATGATATAAACCCAGGGGCAACATACGGCTCGCGACAAGATTTTGACCGGGCCGCTGACTGTAACCAACTACACTCTGTAATGTGGTCCGACGCATCATTCTTGAAAGTTTGCGATCGCTCTATTTTCACCGCACTGTCAGTGCGAGCAGGTGAAATAAACAATTGCCTTAGTAAACAAACAATTGCGTTAGCATACTTGTTAACCAAACAATATAAGGTCAAAGCGTTGTAAACATTTCGCACTACTGTTATCCGTTATATTTAAATTTTTAAATTAAAATAGATTTTAGAAATTAGATTTTATATTAGGTTTTATTAACCATGGAATATCCCAAAAGTAAAGTTTACAGAGATTACAGTATTTTTTGTAAAAATCCGGCCAGCCGAGGACTTCATCTTCCCACATCTGGCCCGCCGACTAGAGAAGTTGCCTACCCCTGTATAAACCCCCTACTTTTGAAAGTATGTCATTTTCAAAGACACTCAATTGAAAAATGAATTTTTTGTCTTTTTTTTATTATCAAGATTCGAGAATATGGTGCAGAATTATACTCCATCATTCTCAGGAGATTGCCTGTTGATGAGACAAACCAAGAAAAAGTACTAACTGAAATACTCAGCCATGCTGATTCAGATAAGGTGATAATTAGATTTGAGCTTGATTTGCTATTTAAAGGCTCGTAGGTATTCCCTGAAGCACATTTCTCTGAATAAATGTTGTGTTGGTATTTTCATATTTATCACAGGGAGAGAACAGCTGATAAGGCAGACTAATCGTATAACGAATCACTGCCTTTCATTCGGTTACCAGTCCATGTTTTCTCAGAGTGTGCAGTGGAATTCGTTTGAAAATGTATTCATTTATTTGAAATTTTTTGATGCGATAAGTTTGTTGACATTGACACAGTTGAATTCGCTAACCTACAATGGATCACATATGCGATGTAGAGCTTTGAATTGGAGATTTTCTGTCTTTGTATTTGTCAAACAAACATCACTTATTCAACATACTGTACAAGTAGTCAGCAATCTGCAACAATCTTTTTTTTTTTTCAAAGAACCAATAGCTTTCTGATTCCACATTATCTGTGCAATCAATTACACCCGTAGTGAGGTAGTTTTAAAGGTTTAAACCCATACTCGTTTGAATTGAATTTTGAGATTTGAACATTACCCATCCCCTTACAGACATGCCAGTGCTCATATATTGTATGAACGACACTTGGTTTTCCTAATAACAAAAACCTTCATTTAGAACTTTGAGAAAAAGCACGGAAGTTTGTTAACACTTGGTTACTTGCTTGGTGAATGGATCGATAATAACGATGACATGGTTCCTCAAGTTATGAAGGATGCTCTGTTTTGTTTGGGTAAGTTTTATTTGATATTTTTTGAGTGTGAGTAGCTATTATTTTTGGTTCAGCATTGTCTACTCGATTTTTGAACCCCGGGTGAAATGGGAGGTTTGGGGTTTTGGTCCTACTTTAATAAATACTTTGTAATGTCACAATTGATACAAACTCCCCACTGGATGAATTTTACATCTCTTCGAATCAATTGTCATGTGCATAGCGTTGTCGCATATCAGAATTTACTTATGACCATACCGTGTATAATGTCCTGCATCTTATATATATGAACCAGTGGTTCCCAAACTGCGGTAACAATTAAATATGGCCCATCAAACTTGAGTGAAATAGTTCAAAACTTGATGTTTTAAGATGTTTGTGTTCTAGATGCTGCCAATAGTTATGTCATTATCACAGTTTAATCATATGTATATTCGTAATCGTAACAATTCAATTATACCGATATCTTAAGTACACATACCGGTAACGATATCGACCCCTTCTTTCTCTCAGCCCACGAATATCCTTCCGCTTCTAATTTTGTCCCACGATCAATTAACTTCGGGAACCACTGATATAGACAAATTGCAAAGTAATATAATTTAACACCTTTTACAGCTAAAAATGCAACTTCTCGTGATGTTGCCATAGCAAGTGCAGGTTGTTTTTCACTTGGTGAAATAGTTCGAAAAACTTCGTTACCAATAACTGATGGAGAAGTTTCTTCAGAAGAAAATGATGAGAAAGATAAAGATGTTAAAGAACAACTTGTTGTTTCAAAAGGTAGGTGGATGTTTTGATACGACACTTCACTCACATCTTTTGCTTTGAGCAATACCCTGTACAAGTATCCCCTGATATGTAACAACATGTGAGACGCTACTATTTATGGAAGTTACCTACACAATTTATTACAACCTTGGTAAGGTTTTGGCCTGCTTGCACCTGTCTTGTGCAAGTCCTGGTCAAATCGAGGCTCACAGAAGGTTGCTTCTATCTGGAAAAACAAATTTAAAAGATTTTGCCAAATGTTTCTAGATGGAATCTTAACCATTCATTAGTTCCATTCACCCGCTTGGTGACTTGCTTGGGGTAATCAACTGTGAAACACATACTGGAAAGTTCACTTTTGACAAAACTAGATAAAATTGTGTGTTTTGTTAGAAATTTACCAATGTTATTCTTCAGATTTCACCAAAAGTGACCTCCTATCCATTCTTCTAAGTCATATTAAAGCATCATCAGCTCATAAATTACGAGAACGAAGTGTAATTACGTTGGGATGTATTCCAGTTGGTGACCCAGAGTTTATACATAAAGAATATTTACTGAATGCTCTGCTGAAATCTTCTGAGGTAACTACCATTTTGTTTTTCACTAATTACTTACACCTTGCTCTGTCAGGAGTAGATATTAAGGAGCATCATGCTAAGTGTTTGGAATACGCTTGCCTGTGTACCTCTGATTACCCTGTGCGGGTTCGCATGTTCTAAACCCTTGGGGGGGGGGGTATTTGTGTCGAAAAGATTGCTAGACTCCTTGCAGCTGTAGTGTCGTTCATGTAACAACTGTTCGGTTACTGCTTTTTCCACTATCAAGTCCATGCATCTGTAGCAAATACCTTGCTAACTAATCCCATACTTGACATGGACTGATAATCGGACGATGTTCGCCATATGCTTTAGCAGTCTCATCAACATCCCTCTCCTCTGGGATACATATGCAATTCCTATCTAATCCAGTATTCCATGAATCTTAGACGGAATTATTTGTTTTCACTTTGGGTTTCAATTGTTTCCTAATTTTTTCTGTATTTCTCTGGTCCTTGTAAAAAATTTCACATTTTTATGTTTCTTCCAGATCAAAGAGGCAGATCTACATTTTACGGTAGCAAGATCATTATGTGATGTAGCGTTAGGCTCGAAATCATCAGCTGGAAAAAATCATTGGAAAATGAAGAAAGACGATAAGTCAGCTATGGATTCATCAGGTTGTGATAAAATAATCAAAGTTGAAAGTTTAAGAATTTTGAATCGAAGCAATTCGAATTAACAGCGATTTTTCATATCTCTTTACATCCTGTGTGAGGTGCGTGGCATGGGATTTAAACCGGTGATGTAATCGCACAATCAAATCACTTTAACCACTATTTAAAAAAAGATACTTTAATTCCATGGATTACAACCTAATCTCATAAACAGTGTTGTTTTTAAGCTAAACTGAGAAGTTGTTTTATGCTTTATATCTTATTCTTAGATACTGACGATGATAAAATACCATGGTTACTAAACAAGATATTGGAAGAATATGTTTGCCATCGTATACCTGCTGTCAGACAGGTGATTTTCAATTCTAGTTTTTGTCTTAGTTTTTGGGTTAGAGACAATTTTTTATTTAGGTACTATATGAGATTGATTCTATACTATACTAGATTGAATAATTAGTTTTTAGTTTGTTCTAAAAAAAGTAATCAATAAATTATGATATATAGCAAATGTTGCACTGGATTTCGTCATGGGCACGAAGACCAAAACAAATTCTGAATGAATCATGTTGGACTGCCGAAGGTACCACTATAAATGTTTTGCAAAACACTAGGGTTTCACTGAACACAGTTTGTCAAGCACTAGTTAAAACTGACACTTTTTATTACTTTCTCAGGCTGCAAGTATATGGCTTCTAACTATGCTAAAGACAGATGAGATCACATCACATTCAGAAATTCAACAATTTCTGCCAAAAACACAGAATGCTTTTATGTCTCTACTTACCGAATCTGATGGTGGGTTGACATTTCAGTCATAAGCCTAAGATCGTTATCTACAAAGTTTATTTGTGACCCTTTTCTGAGGACGGCAGGATGCAGAAAAGCAAGCCAAGCAGCGCTTGTTTTATTTGTTAAACTTACGACTAGTTTGAATACTTAATAAACTGGTAACAGCAGTAGCAATCAGAGTCAAAAATTTTTTTGAATGTTAGAGTTGGAGTGAACCTAAGAGTTGCTTTCAAATTTTCTTCATCTTCACAGACCTGGTCAAAAATATATTTCTCACTTAACCACTATAGAATGAAAAACCTTTATATAATGAATGATCACATACTTTTAAAATCTTCTAGTACACCATGGGGTGTATTATACACTTGATTGAGAAGTATTTCTTTATGTTGATGAGCACTTGGAAGAACATTTGGCGAATAACACTTGTAAAATGGAACCTTTATATTTTATTAATTCCGAGACTAATTTTTTAGATCTCATCCAAGACATCGCATCCAAGGGGTTAGGAGTTGTGTATGAGCTTGGTACAGAAGATCAGAAGAAACAATTGGTTGATGCATTGGTTGGTTCATTGATGGAGGGAAATGCGTCAAAAACTATCAAACCAAACCAGGATAATTTATTCCAAGGTGCCAAAGGAATTGGGAAAGCTCCGGACGGGTTAGTATGCTATATTCTTGTCTGCTCAATTCGTTTTTTTTATTGTGAATGCCATTTCTTATGCTTTTTCAAAAAGTTAAGTTTTTAAGTTTATTTAAATCCTATTTATTGTTAAGCTCAATGTTTCATCCTTTGTTGTTACTGAATTCTTTTTCTTGTGAAGTATTATTTTTTTACTCAGTAATTTGAACATTCTGGACTTTCCAAACAGTTGCTTTCCACATGTCTGTGGCCGCTTATGTAGAGTTTAGTTTGAATGTCCCACCATAAATATATATACCGGTAGTTCTAATAAAAGTAACTGCCCATAACTTTGCTCAAAAACGAGCAATTCTTCTACAAAAAAATTAAAACTGCTCTTACATTCATGTATATACCAGGGATTGCGAACCTTTTTATTGAATGGCTCACATATTGAATATTTATTATGACAAAGAAGATTGTGGGTCTTAGATTTAATCAATGTCTGCATCAATTAGAAACTTGCTGTTGCTTGTTTCCCGCAAATCTTATTATCCTTGGTTGTGTAGTTTTGAGCTTTACACATGCAGCGCTTATTGTTAAATTTATGGACTGGTCCCATTATAAATAATGTGTTAGTAAAGTTGTTTTGCAAAAAGTTTTAAAGTCTTGAATTTATAGAACACTATAAAAATGGTGGGTCACATTGTAAGCTGTGATTTAGCAGTTTGCCATCTTAGATATATACATTTTCTTATTTATTATTAAATACTTTTCATTTCAGTTCCAAACTATCGACATACAAAGAAATTTGTTCTCTTGCATCTGACCTTAACCAGCCTGATCTTGTTTATAAATTTCTGCATCTGGCAAAACATCATGCATTATGGAATTCTAAGAAGGTATGCTATGTTTTATTTGTTTGTATGTGGTGCAAATTTGGCACTGATTTTCATATCAAGTCTCAAAATGACCAAAATCACCCATCTTTATGTTTTTTATTACGGATATGTGTGCCTTTGTGTAATTATATCGTATTGGACGGGTAATTTCAATTTATAAAACAGTATTATGTTTGACTTGAGGGTGATGATCAAAACAGCTAGCAGGTCCGATCGAACGCTGGAATACGTACGCGTGTTTTCAGTAGTCTTGGGGTCTAGAAAGCATTTTAAGCTACGGGAAATTGCTATCTATGATACAGAAAAATGATTTTATTTTTTTTACATTTCAAAAGGGATGGTTTCGACCCACAAAACCACCACTCTGGCTACGACACTGGTCCAGGGCCTTGTTCATGCCGAAAGACGGTTATGAGCATTGTTTTAGAAAAGCACAAAACTTGACTATGTTGAAACTGAAGGCTACTCATCTCTGGTCCCTGTCTTATGCTTGCCACCCCCCTTCATTGTAATAAATTATGTAGATAATATCGGGCCAGAATGATTCGGGCCGTCAGAAAATATTAGCTTCTAACATATTGATAGGTATCAGTTCTTGATCAGGGCAAAATATGTGAATAAATGTTGTATAATAAAGTATGGTCATGGCAAGAATAAGGAGTTATATCAAATATTTCTTTATTCTACCAGGGTGCAGCATTTGGTTTCAGCAATATTGCAAGTCTGGCAAGTGAACAGTTAGCTCCACATCTTCCTCGTATTGTACCGAGGTTATACAGATATACGTTCGATCCTCAACCCGGGGTAAGATCAGCAATGACAAGTATTTGGAATGCTTTGGCGCCTGATCCGAAGAAACTGGTGAGTGTGGATTGTTTTTATAATTTTTTTCAAATGATAAGATTTTTATTTTGGTTGTTTATTTATCTCGGTAGCAGGAAAGTCGATAAGATGGATTAATCATATAACATACAGAGACATCCCATCTCTTCTGCCTATCAGCCCATATCAAGTAAGTATGGGAATAGATGCATGAAATTCGTGCTGAAGTAAACCAGAACTTAAGTAAAGGAAAGACCATAAGACAGGTGAATCCTATTATTAGTGCAGTTATAGGAATATTTAACCAGTTATTCATTTCTGCATTTAACTCCGACATTTTGCTAAATGGGCGAGGGGAAGGGGGTTATGATTCGTCATACGATCAAGCTGTCTTGTTAATGTGTTGGAATAGGGTGAACAGCTATTTTATCCCATACTCAAATTGGATGGACGACCAGGCGAGAGAACATTTGCCATAAACTTGAGGCCTCCATGAATTGGAAATTCTGCTTTACCCTAGAAATTCGCATATATTCGGAGATACTTTTGAAGCTAAATGAATCCTATACCCAAACCGGACAAGTCTTCTTAGTTTTTTTCTCTCTCCCATAAATTTGAACAGTTATCGCCTATTTGGGATTTAGACCACAGGCGTGTACATACTACCCACGGGCGACATTAGGGACTGTGGAATCTGAGTTGTATCTGAAATACTTCATTGTTCAACATAATCAGGATTTGGTTTGTCCGGTTATAAGAGCATTATAGCAATGTGGCACTATTTAGAAAAACTGTGCTGGTTACGATAACTAACGAGTTGTTTGATGGTTTGGCCCTCAGTGTCAACATAATTCTATGTTTCCGCCCATTTTTCGGTACTTCTGTCCCGTAGTATATGTACCAGGTAAGGGTTAGGCCATAATTTTATTTCAATTTTCCTTATTTTAGTTCCATTACAAGTTCAGGGACTGTCTGTGTTAGCCAAGTGAATATACCCTCTGTCCATAGGCTTCAGTCCCTTTACACAACTTGTCCCTTTACACAATTAGTTATCTCCATATTGGTACACATACTTCTGGAGCGCCTATTTTTCTGCATCTTATCATCACAGCTATCTTCCTGCTCAAGCTCTCTTCTTAATATTCAAACAGTAAAAAAGTTTTATACTTTTGTTCTGTTTATTGCAATATTTACAATATATACAAAAATGAAAAGTAATCTAATATCTAAAGCTCGTAGCACACGAGTAGGAACATATTAAGAGCTTGTATAAGGCAGAGTGGGAATGAAAATGAATTGCCTTACATGGAGAAATTCTTTTGAAAGTTCCAAATTATCCGTTTAGAATCAGTCTATATGTATAGAACTGAGCCAATTTAGATAAGAACGGAGTTCATCTTAAATATTAATTAGGAATGCATGTTCAAAAGTTTTTTTTCACCAAATTTGGGAACAGAATAAAAGGATTTCATCTTGTAAGGCATTTATGCTGGAGAATTATGCATAACATCCATCAGAATTTAACTTGGAATTAACTTTATGATGGTATGACAAATAAAAAACACACCGACTTCACATTCTTGCACACAACATTACTATACTTCATTGAGTTAACTTGTTACATTGGTAGAATACAGTTTACCACTCATGGACTAATGCTACAGCTTAATTTTTTTTAACAAAATCATTCCAAATTAGTGTAGCACTGCTTGGCTCGGAAAATAGGAAATTTTTTATTTTAGGGAGTGTTGCTATGGAAAGGCGGTGGGAAACATCTTTAAAATTAAATTCAGATGAATACTGTGCATAATTGTCCAGCATGTTTATAAAAAATGATATATAGCATTAACAATATATACATATAATACCAATGCTTGCCTATGATACACACAAGTCTTAGTTAAAGTACGTTCGACATTAAGTCCGCGGAGTTAAGCCGTAACGTATATTGCACGTTGTCCCGACCGCTGATGCATGACAATGCAAACTCGTTACACATGACTGACCTCTTCAAACTTTGCTGTTGTGTGTACATCCCCAAATTCAAAATTTTTCTGGAATAATTGGGGCGGTCGTCATGGTAACAATATTTGTATAGTCAGCATTTTTGGATTTTTAAAAATGATGGGTACAAGATTATGTAGAATATAAACAAGCATGGTAAATTTTGGTTATTTACAAAAAAAAAACTAGTGTAATGAGAAAAATAGGAAATTTAAATTCGAATAGCTTATGACGCAACCCCAGAAAAAAAAAAATTTGGATAAATAGATTGCTGACTGTGTAACCCGGTCTCAATTACATTGTTTAAAAATTAGCAAATTATAGCGTTATCTCTAAACAAAAAATTTCGGATTTTTGTTCAAAGTACTATCATGGAAAAAATGGTATGCAAAATAATAAAAAATATCTTTCCAAAATGAATTATAATGTAGATGTAACTTTCTGGGTTTTGTCATAAAATACTCAAAGATAGATTTCCAGTTTTCGGAAGAAAAAAAAAATATAGCAGCTTTGCAAAACACAGGAATGGCTATTACGTCTTCTATAACTATAATTGTTGGTTGTTTAGTGCCTTAGTGAGAGATGTTAGTGGTATTTACAATGAAGTATAGTATTATTATTAAAATTAAAATATCAATTTGGTCTTCAGAATCAGGAACATTTTCCTGGGCATATATTAGTATTATGAAAATGGTACGAAGGGGTGTGCAACCTTATATACAGGAGGGCCAGATATAAATAACTGGGTGAAACAGCGGGCCACACCTTTATTTAACCAAAATTTTATAATAGTTGCAGGCACGAAAATGTTGGTTATTGATCTAATGACATGCGTTGTTCGGTTCGCACAAGCTAGCAGTTAGGGCATTGTAACACCATAGGCATAGATAATAAATTGGACTCGGGTATGGGCTTTGCGACGCAAAGGGATTGGATTTAGGTACTCACACGAATCTGCTCAGATTAAATTAAAATTCATTCAAAATTAGCACTTTTTCGCGGGTCCACACAATTTTCCATTGTGGGTCGCATTTGGCCGCGGGCCGCAGGTTGCACACCCCTGATTTACATGGTGCAATAATTTGTTCAGATGTTCAAGTGACAGCCAAAATAGTAGTGGGGACTGTAAAATTATTTTCATTTTTAGTACATTGCACTGAGATTTAAAGGTTTTAGCACTTGATCCGGTTATCAACGTACTTCTGAATATACGAAATTCAAACTATATACAATTACAATAATCATGCTACTTTCACTCGCATAAGAATTAAAATCGAATGCATTACTATTTTAAACATATATGGCCCATACAAGCAAATATACACTTATGTTTGGGACATGTGTGATTAGGTATGTAATTTCAATCAATTTTAATTGTATTATGAAATTTGCTACTAACCCACCATTGACATTATAAGGTTCTGAATATACAAGACTACATGTATAGCTATAATTGGCAATTGCATTTGTCTCGACGTATTTTTATGAACAGATTCCGACGAACTAAACATTTTATACAAAAAATAATAATATAATGAAATCATATGGTTTTCATCCAGTATAGTTTTAAGAATATACCAATATAAGCTTATTGAAATACATAATATGTGATAGACTTTGCTAAACTGGTGAAGTATTGGATAGGACCTCCCAATATAATTACGGGGAAGAGCAAGCCGGTAAGACGGCTTAATGATATGGTGAACCACGGCCTCTTGTCCGGTTACCATTCTCGTCTTGTTACCGGTTTATGTCTACATTATTAAAATCAAAAATTTCTGATAAGGGTTGATTCGTTCTCAATATTCCCGGGTTCGGAGTAAAAAAAGTGGAATTTTTGGATGATATTTGTGTTATAAGCTTTGAAAATATATTATGCTCAGATAAATGTGAAGTTAGTAAAAGAATTAAAGAATTCACCGTTTTCACCAAAAATAATGATAATAATATCATAAAAGTAGATAAACAACACATTTTGTAAAGATCTTTGAAATGATGCTTGATATAAATGAAGTGATTAGTATGATAAATAGTAGGATTATACGAAAATAATCATTAAATATATAAGCCGGTGATTTTGAATCTTGTGTTGATATAATTGTGCTGAATATTTCGTATATTATCGGGGTGTAAACATTTTACCATTCAAACAAATGGAGAAAAAATGAAGTAGATGACATTTGGATGGGTCAAGACATGCCGAAATTGACTCAGAAAACACATTATTTTAATTAGTTACCTTCAATGTAAATACGTTTTCTATTTTACCTGAATGCGCTGAAAGACGGTGCCGATTTCAATTCTAATTAGTAAGTTTCATATTTCCATATACGATTCTCAATATTGGTTAATTACAGTTGCATGGGACTATGGCTATGTTGAGGGCCATGTTTTGGGCTATTGTTACTTATAGATGATAATTATCATATACATTGTGAGGGCGTCATAGGCAAAAGTTGACGTATAAGATGATAGGCAAGATTTTTCAGGCTTAGAACTTGATAAACAATAAAAGAATACGATAGATTAGTAATGATATATAGTTAGAATGGCGAATGCAATTATAGAAATGATTTTATGGGTTCGATTTCTAAAACATTATTACAAACAGTGTCAAAACTATCACCCGCTGGGTCAATGAAATGTCAGCGTTTGGCCAACTGTGATAGCCCCGCAGGCTAAAGATTACGAGTCCCCATGTACACCACCCCACCTAGGGCCTAATGCCCTAATATATAGATTTACTGGATTGGAATGATTACGAGCTATCAAAAATAGCAGTTCTTCGCATATTATTGGTCGCTTGTCCAGACGAGGGGTCGAATTTGGGGAAACCCCACCCTAAAAGGACACGTCGGGTTCATGATGTAAACAAACTTCGAAATATCTTGGCGCATTAAAAGCTGAGTTAAAATTTACAGAAAAAATGTCACTCAAAAGACCAAAATTCCAGTCCGATATTCTACGAAGATTGTTAGTAATTATTAATTTATTTTTGCACTAAGAGCATAAGCATTAGGCCACCAAGCGTTTAA